TTTTCCGCAGGTCTGCGGTTTTTCCTTGCAGCTGCGACGAGGTCAGTTGTTACCTTAACTATTCCCTACTTCGTATTAATGGTGTTTCCTCGTAAAAGTGCGTTCTTGCATCGTTTTCAGCATTTATTCTTTGGCGCAGGCGCAGTATTCGCGGTGTTCGAACGCGACGGTTTCGGTGGCTTGACCTATAGCTATACGCGCTTGTAGTCGGCACGGATTATATCGGTTCGCTATATTTTGTGCTCGCGCTCGCTTGGTAAACGGACGGGGCGCTATGTTGTAGGCGCACCGGACGTTACAGTATGTATGTAATAGTTCGAAATTTCAAACATACGGTCAGTAAATCGTTTGAGAGAAAAATTTTGTATTCTGGAAGAGAGAGAGAGAGAGAGAGAGAGAGAGAGAGAGAGAGAGAGAGACACTCTCTCATCTATCATTCAAGGTCGATCATGGATATTTTTGTAATTTTACCGAATATTAATGCATATCTTGCGGAAATGTTAACTACGTTGAAACATCTGAAGATGGCTTGATATAAAGCCGAAACATGTAATGAAGCTTACTAACGTTCAATTAAATTTTTATTTTATTTAATTCTGTGACATATATATATTTTTAACGTTTTATATTTGACTCTTATATGTCCTTTACAACATTATTTGAAATTTTATAATATTTAAGAGTCCTATGAATCTTTGTATTGTTATAAATCATAGACATTATATAATAACTCCGCAAGAAAAGAATGATTAATCTGAAAACATTAAAAATTATCGGTTTTCCTAAAAGGTAAAATATTTCTTGGTAATATATTACATTAGTTATTCAGATTAGACATTCCTTGCTTCGCTTTTTTAAAGTGTATTTTACCTATTCTCATCCTTCAGTTTGCCGACTCGTAAGCAAGCTTGAAGACGGATCGCGACGTCGCACATCATGTCCGCCAGTTTTTTCTGTACAAGCTGATTCGCCGCCAGCGGTCTTTTAAATTGTTTCCTCTCCAAAGTGTAAGATCTAACAATGTTCAGGCAAGCTTCTGCCGCGCCTAACGCACCCCAGGCGATGCCGTATCGCGCATTGTTTAAGCAACTGAATGGTCCCTTTATCAAGTTCTATTATTAGATATCCTAAGCTACGCGGAATATAATCGTAATTAATGCGATCATCTCGTTTTTTGTAGTTGTTGACTTCATTTTTAATATCTATATTTTTTAAATTTCAAACGATAATGATAATAACGGTTATAATAATAATAAATAGCCAATTGTGTGATAGTAACTAATAGTCAATTAATTAAATAAGGATATAACTGCCTTGACCAGTATAAAACACTGAGTTTATTGCATTTTCTGGAAAAAAAAAGATAAAATCCAAAGAAAAACAAATAAATAAAAACAATATATTTATATTTTTTGACCATATATTTGACAAACTCAATTAATACTAGAAATTTAACTGCCTATTACGGTCGAAGCAGGATCTTCATTGCTTTTTAATAATTCAATCTTGAATTACTAATATATACTATATATGTACTTGCATATATACCATAATGTAGTCTTTTTCTAACTGCGCGCCGAATTGTTTTTCCGGACTAAATAAACGCAATTAAAACTACTCTAGTAATATCGTGAATTAAATTGACAAGCAATTTAATAATTTGATGCTACCATCAAGCATCATATATTATAAAGATGTTAATATATAAAAACTGTTAAAATAAATTTGCCTCGGTAGTCTAATGGCTTAGGACGTTCGTAAGGTTTACAAGAGATCCGTGTTCAAGTCCCGGCCGAGGTAATATTTTTCGCAATAAATTTATTAACAGTTACAATATATTAACATCTTTATAATATATGATGCTTGATGGTAGCATCAAATTATCCGGAAAAACAATTCGGCGCGCAGTTAGAAAAAGACTACAATATGGTATAAATGCAAGTACATATATAGTATATATTAGTAATTCAAGATTGAATTATTAAAAAGCAACGAAGATCCAGCTCCGACCGTAATAGGCAGTTAAATTT